GTAACTGTTAAATAGTTTTATTGGTGTGACAATAAATTATAATCAAAATTATCAAAGTGAAAAATAATACTAAATAGTACACAATAAATAAAATAGACTGATTAGCAATATATGGGAACTGAAAATAATTTGTACCTTATGAGGACTGCTTTTTCCCACAAAACTTTGTAGCTGGAATAAATATATAATTCCATATCAGTTCCAATAAAAAGGCAATTAAAAAACATGAAAGCAAGAGAAACATTATTATCTGCAATGCAAGCTGGTTTCAGTTAAAAGTACTATGCAAAATGATAAAGGAATATCAAAAGTCATTAGTGATTTATGTCAGGCAAGTATGCATCTTGACAATTGAGAACTTGGAAGGACTAAACTAGGTAAAACTTTAATGTCTGCCATCATTCACACAGAGATGCAGCCTTCACAGCTGAACAGATCTTCTCAAACTGGTCTGCCAACCTTTTGCAATTGCCCCAATTAATGGCCTCGTGTGCATGGTAAATTCAGCGTACATAAAAAAGAGGATCAATTACTTGTCTTTTTTTTCTTTTTCTTTTTTTTTTTCCAGGTACATTTGAGGAAAGTGGAGAATCAAACCATAACCTCCTAAACCTAATGATGTAAACTGGTTCTCGCCACTGCCTGACTCCAGTGGTTAAAGATAAATTATGCTGTCCACCCCAAAGGTTTGGCTTCAATACAGTTGCTACCCTATGGTATTAATAATTACACTGACTTCCTCTATTTGGGAAATCATGTAATAGATTTCCTCCTGTTGCTAACTGACCATTGGTGATAAAAATGAAATACGATGACATCATATTTTGAAATTTTGAAATGCCTACTTTACCCTTGATATAAGTTATAACTAGCCCAAATGATGACATGTGTCACTCTAAGCCAGATCATCTATCACCACCACTTCTCTGTCTATATATATACATTAATTGGACACAGCAACCCCATTACCATTGTCACCAAACAACTCTACCATTACCATCACCATCACCATCACCATCACCAAACAACCAACACTACTCTGTCGATTTAGCACCATCATCAACCACCACGACCATTCAACCCCTATTTCATCACCAACACCATCATCTAACCCAATTCCAACCCCATGTTTCACAAACTACAATCACTACCTACTTTACCACCACACTCAACCTTAACATCAACAACCACAACACAATCATCCGTGAATCA